AACATGAAAACAAAAAAATAAAATAGAATAGGGAACATTACAGTGTAATATTCCCCATTATAATCCCCTTGTCTTATAAACATTAAATAGCATTTCACAACTATTATACTCTAGCCTCCCCCCCCCCCGCGCTCGGACTTCCCCAGCCAGAGGACTACATGCCAGGGAGTTTCGATTGAGCACTGCAGGGGGTGGGGCTTGTGACACACACACGCCTCCTGTGACTCACCTCCCCTCCCGCTGCTTGTTACCATGGACGCGGCCGGGAGGGGAGGTGAGTCACAGGACCTGCCCCCTCACTGAAATGCCCGTAGGCAGTGCGGGGCCCTGGTGATCGAACACCGGGACCGTGCACTGCCAAAAAAAAACGGATCGGACCCCACTGAGGCTGTGGGGGAGCCCAGGACCGGACCCCACTGGGTCCCCCCACAGCCACAGGCCCCGGTACCGGCTGCACCGGCGGTAGTTCCACCACTGCCTCTAGCACCTTCCATCTTGCAGAATCAAGCACCCCCCCAGCCCCTTTCATCTTGTAGCACCTAGCCACTCAGCCCCTTCATCTTACAATGCCTAGCCCCTTCCATCTTGCAGCACCCAAGCCCCTCTAGCACCTTCCATCTTGTAGCACCCAGTCCCCTTCAGCTCCCTCCATGTTGCATCATCCAGCCCCCCAACCAATATTCCATCTAGTGCACATGTGCAGGGCACAGCCAAACATAATATCAAAGCGAATGCCTAATTTGGAGCTTGAGCTGCATATGACTACTTTTCCTCTATGGTTGCTTGGAATTTGGAATACAAGATGAAAAAGCTCTTAAAATTTTCAATAACTTGGTTTTACCTTTTCCATTGAGGTGGAATCATCTATGTAGGATTTCCAGGTTCTTCCATCATCACTGTAGTGAATACCATAGGACTGCACATACATTTCACTAGCAAACTGTTTAGCTCCCTGTGTTGTAATAGCAGTAATTTTCTTCACTGTAAGAAAGTCAATCTGTAGCCACTGCTGGTTGTTATTGGACTGTGTAAGGAAGAGTAAGAAAGCACATATCAATTATCTACTGAAGTAGGCCATACAATAAAACAAACACATTTTTGCATGTGCATCAAACTTCACCCCCCAGGCACACCTGCAATGAGTCGTGTATCATTAGTTTTTTACATGTTTGTTGTTTGCCTATGTGCACAAAAAATACGTGTCCTGTTTGTCGAATGTAAGCGATCAGGTTACCTCTGCCCGTGTGGAACGATCCTTAGGGCTCAAGCACAAAGCTGTACAAATCACATACAAATCAATGGCAAGCTGTCACTGCCCACATGTTATCGCTTAAGGAGTGACTACCTGTGGTTAGGGACAGATGTACGACCCTGGACATGAAATGTCTGTTTCCAGGGGTTGTACATGTGTCCCTAACTGCAGGTAGTCACTCTACTAGCGATAACATGCGAACAGTGACAGCCTGTCATTGATCTGTACAAGTTTACTGTCCGTGGCTGATTGGAAACACCTAGCCTTAGAAAAGCATGGGTCTGAGTGGTTTATGGTCCTAATTGGCCATGTGTATGAGCATTAGCCTTAGTTGCATTAGTCTTAGTCCTAGCTGCTGTGTTGCTGTGTGTAATACTGTCCATGATTAAAGTCGGACTCCACTCCAATCAGCAGGGGATCCATGCACAGATCCCCTGCTAAACAGAGCAGAACCGAACATACTGTATGTCACTCATGTGACATCTATGTCCGTTCAGTTTTTGAAACAACTGAGCTGTACAGACCCAGTCGGATGTAAGTGGACATGCATCCGTTTACTTCAGATTACTTCCGATCTGTCACATTCAGGTCTGCCAAAACTGAACTCTGTTCCATTTTTCTTTAGACATAGATAGAGTTGGGGTAACTGGATGTAAATGGACGCACGTCTGTTTAGATTCCGCTGTCAGAGTTGGGCTTTCAGAAAACCTGACAGGCAGACCTGATCGGACCACTCCTCTCAAAGGGGCTTAAAGCAGGGAATGGTTATCTCCGGACACCTGAATAATAGCAAGACAACACCACCTACAACAACACCTGCATGATAACCTAAGGCACTGGGCAGATAGACTGTTTTTATGATATGGTTTTCAAGGATTCATTTTCAGATTTGACTGGAGTGTATCTTTATCAGGTGTTTGAAGATACGTCACCAGCACTCAGCAATTCAATGTGCAAATAAAGTTTGTTTTATTGCAAAATACGTTACATAGGTCAGTAAGCCAACATGTTGGGGCCACGCAGGGTCCCTTCTTCAAAAGACACAGTGACAGAGGGACCCTGTGTGGCCCCAGATAACGTTGGCTTATTGACCTATGTGACATATTTTGCAATAAAAAATGTTTTATTTGCACACTGAATTGATGAGTGCTGGTGGCTTACCTTCAAACAGCTGAGGTTTTGTATGGTGTCATCTGCTGCCACCACTATGAGCGCCATCTTTTATTACTGGTCACAACACTGTATGGTGTGGAGCTGGTCAAAAACTCTTTTTTAGGTTTTACAATAATTTGATTAAATAATAATTTTAACTTACCTTTGCTTGCCAAGCATTAACAGACCCAGCTTTATTGAGGCGTGCCAGAGACGGTAACCATGGTGATGAGTACCAAGACCATTTATGCGAGGAAGCTGTTATTTGTTGATCCTTTATACTAGAATTCTCCATACCTAGGGGAGTTGAACATCCTGGAAAAGACAATACAACATATCAAAATGGAACATTTCACTGGGTAAAATGAATATAATATACAGTTTTTTTAAATATTTGTATGTACATATTGTTTTTTCAGATGTCTTTGGTCTAGTCACAGGACATCACAGGTCCTCTTCCTCCAGGAGTGGTTGGGTCCTTAATAATGCAGAAACCCTGGACTCACAGGAAGTGGGTTGAATGATGCTATGTTTTTTTCTATTCGGAAAAGGAGCAGTGATTGATTGCAGACAGTTTAGGAAATAAGGTAAATATTGCAGCAAGAGGTGTTTTTTTATTTTAATTCTTGTAGGGCAATGTATTTTTCTATTTTCCAAATAAAGCTAGAAGAATAGAGCAGCCATAAATAGCAAGATACACAGAGGAGAATTTATGAAAACTAGAGCAGAATTTGGAGCAGCTGTGCATGGCAGCCAATCAGCTTCTATCTTTCATTTTCAAAATTTACCTATAAAAACTGAAGATATAAACGGATTACTATGGTTACTATGGGCAACTAATCCAGATTCTGTCTTGATAAATTCCCCCACACAGAGTAACGCTATGGCCCCTGTCACAATTGTGATCCTGTTGCTGTTGAGAACTCACTATGAAGAATACTGCAGGGCAGCGAAACATTCACCTGTTTGTATGTGTTGCTCTTGCACCATCTGGATGTGAGGTGTCACTCTCTCATCAATGAGCTACATTCTGCAGCTTTTTCATAAGCAAGAGAACAAAGCCTTGCTCATCAAGCAGGGAGGGAGTACCACATTAAAGCAGATACGTTTGTTTTCCATGCACGTTTTAGAAATGCTGGTGCTGGTGTGAATAGGCCAACAACAGAACTGCAAGTGTAATAGAGGTCTTAGGCTTGAGACGGGGGTTCACTTTTAAGATGTATTGCTAGTTATCATACAGAGTGCTGAGCCAGTGACAGCACACTCCAGGCAACAGGGATGCCACTCTGTGCCATCTGACGAACAGGACTCTTTCTTGCTATCCCCGCTATAACTGGACCATCCTAAAGGAAGCCCATCTGCTAGCCAAGGCGAGTAGGCTTGTTACACCAAGAGGACCACTATAGGGCTATTGAAAAGTGAGTGCATTTCTAAAAATTGATCTTTTAATATATTTGGAAGGCTTATTTCACAAGGTGGGTGGGCTTTTCTTCCTTTACTGTTTCCATAATGGATCTGTAGAACTCACCCAGCATTTTACTATACAAGACAGCATGGTTTTGTGATAGCAATGCTGTACTTCACAGGATAGCTAGTTAGCACAGCTCTGTTTGGTTTCTTTTAGCCCTCTCACCATAACAAAACTAGTTATACTATCTTGTATTGGTCCATAAAAAGTTTGCACCTATTCAAATATAATTATTTTTGGTTTCAAGGAAGATGTATCGCGGATACAATTCTCAGATATATGTGTTACAGACAATAGCTAATATCAAGTTGTATTCAATTACAATTATGAGATTTATTTACTTTTAATAGTTCAAAAGAAATATAACGTACCAATCATATTAATTTTTATTTTCAAACATGTTTATAATAATTTACTTTAAACAACTTTACCATTTATTCCACACCCAAGCAATTCCATGCGAAGAGCTGGCTTATTTTGGTACTTTGTGGGATAAATTCTTATGTATCGTGCTGCAATTGGGGGGTCAAACTGATTTTCTTTTATATTAGATGAGTCAATGTTCCCTTTAAATATCTGTGAAGTTGAATAAAGATAATGTTGATAATAGAAGAAAATAATAAAATAGTAATTATTTAAGTAATGATGAAGTAATAATAAAGGATAAAGATAATAACAGAATGTTGATATGTTTTGAGAAAAACAATTATAAAAAACAAATCATATAGAACAGTGTATGTTCCATATCTGTGGATCTAAAAATATGCTCTGTCACATAGTCATGTAACCGGTTTTATAAAGCATGTGGAGAGATATTGATAACCACCTGGTGCATTCTCAGTCGTGCACATAGTAAAGCTGCAGGGTCAGTATCCCTTTAGAAGTGGATAGGCCTAAAATTAAGCAGTGAGCAAATTACACAACCAAAAATTAGATTTCCAAAGGAATTTTTACGGTCATCTTAAAGTACTCGTCTAGGTTGCCTCATTGAAAACAATAACTTATTTTTTTAACATTTTATAAAATTAAAGCATCTGGAGAGTGAAATGATGTCAATGAGCTGGGCAGTAAGCCAGACAGTGTCCCAGGTTACTGACACTCTGCCCACTGATGTCATCGGTTGCCAGGAGCTGCCCATCTTTGCTCCCCCCCCTCCCCCTT